CCCCGCCCCCTCCCCCTCCCCTCGAGGCCCTGAGACCAGCCCTAGCCCAGCTTGCTCCAAGGGTCCCTCTGGTGAGAGATGGGACAGGGACTCCAGATCAGGGTTCAGGGAGTGGGATGCCTTTGGCCTCTGGAAGGCTGGGCCAGGGGAGTGGGTGGGTGGGCCCTGAAGGTGTGTGGGGCTGGGGGCAGGTGCAGAGTTGGGGTGGGGATAGAACTGCTTTTGAGGGTGAAGAGCAGGCTCCCCCAGCATGGAGGCTCCCTGGATGGTTGGGGACACTGAGCTCAAACCTTCCCTGTGCCCTCTGCCCAGCGGTCAGTGGGGTGTGAATCAGTAAGGAAATGGCAGGGGGTTCGGAGGGAGGGCACCAGCCAGAGGAGAGGGAAGGTTCCAACACTGCATTCCAGTGTCCCTCCCTAGTTCCTCCCAGCACCCTAACCTTGATAGGAACCTAACCTTGAGCCCACCAGACACCAGCCCATTCTGTCACCACCTCCAGGCCCACCCCAGCCTCGCCCAGACCTCGCTCTGTTTAGGCTCTCTCCTGACCCCAAGCCCCTCCTGCCCCACCACGTAAAACCCTCCCTGCCCTCCCCCATGGCCCACAGCCCTTAATGGTGAACCCCATCTCCTCTGTACCTTCACTTCACCTCTGTCCTCTGGGTCTCCAAGCTGCTCCCCCCCAAACCAGAAACCCCCACCTGGGGGGCTCCCAGGGTGGGACACTGGCTGCTGCTCCAATTGCTCCTCCTGGCAGGGAAAGGGCCTGGGGGGGCCAGCCTGTGACCCCCTTTTAGTCTCTTGGCTCTAGATATTCTCTCCAGACAGGTCAGCTACATACAGCCAGCACCACGTGACCGCATCTCACGTCCTTTCCCAGGGGGGCACGGGTTAGCATGATTGTCGGAGCCACTTAGGAGCCAGGTCCTGGATGCTGGTGTGTCTACCCCAGCTCCCTTCCAGCACCCGATATAGTCGTCTGTCTGTCTGTGTCTCTCTCTCTTCAGGGTTAGGGCCCCTGCCCTCCAGTTTTGCCTCCCTAATCACCCCACTTCCTGCTGCCTGCTGGCCTGGGAGTCATGAATCTGGGGCGGGGACCTCAGGAGGAGCCAGTCTAGTCCAACGTCCCTCAAGATCCCACCCAGGTCCAGGTAGCCCGCCCACATGTTGGCAGTCTTTCTCTTTGCCACTGTTCTGCCCCTTCCTACCCCCGGGCCTGGGTCCTGAGCAAGCAGCGCCTGTTTTCCTGATTGCCCCACCCCAGGCTGGCGCTTGGGGGCACCCTGGGCCCCGGTGCGCACACTGTGAGTGGTGGCCAGGAATGGGTCCTCTTGAGGGAGCCTAAGCCCAGGGTTCTGGGCTGGGGAGCAGGGACAGGGCAATGGAGGCCCCGTCTTAAACCCTTGGTGGTGGAGTGCTTGGAGCAGTGGGGGCCGTTCTTGCTCCAATGCCCTTACTGTGGTCTGTTCACTGTCCCCACAGCCTGCTCCGTCTGCCTGTCTGTCTCCCTCCTGCTTGTCTGTCTCTCACTGGCTCTTTTCCGTCCCCTGGCACCGACGGTCCTGGCCCGGGCTGAGCCCTCCGTGGGTGTGGGTGGACCTTGGGCTGAGAGGGGTCAGGGAGCACCAGGCCATCAGCAAACACATAGATAAGGACAGGGCCGGGCCAGATGGGAATCCCTCTGGGAGGCCCTCCTGCTTCTTCCACCACCTAAGCCTGTGGCCGTTGGGACCTGGTCTCCACTGGGCGAGGGGCAGGCCAGGGGCACAGCAGCAGGAGGGCAGCAATTCCTCCAACAAGGCCCAAACCACTGCGCTCCTCTGCCCCACCCCACACCCTCCTGAGCACACCTCAGAGTGACACGGTGACCCCCCCTGTCGCCAGGGTCCGTGTGGGGAAGACCACTGGGTGGAGAGTCAGGAACGGAGGTTCTGGCCCTGGCTCCCGGGCTCTGCCCCTAGCTGTTAGGTGGCCTTTGCGGTCCTTTGCCTTTCGGGGCTATTGAGTGGGCAGTCTACTGGGAAACCAGGTGACCTCGGCAGGCTCAGGCTCGCACCTCCGGGGCCCCTGTTCTCTCTGTGAGCTCCCAGGACTGGGTGGGTGGGGGTGGGGGTTGCCTTTCTCCACATGGCCGGGGGTTGGCGGACTTCCTCCTTGGGGGATGCTGTCCCCACAGAGGTCTGGTTGATCCCTGGGAGCCTGGGAGTCTGAGGGCCCCGGGCGGGAAGGGGCCAAGGTTTCCTCCGGGCCAGGCTCGCAGCTCCAGCCTCGGGTGGAGGGACAGGAGGTTACTCATCGCTGGGTGGGGCCCTGGAAAGGAAGATGGCGCCGAACTGGGAGAGGGAGGGAGACAAGCCTGGAAGCTTTGGGACGGGTGGGAGGCGCTGCTTTCTGTGTGACCCCTTCCCGGAGGAAGAACCCCCAGACTGAAGGAGGGTGGGGTCCGGAAGGCACAGTGAGGGCCGCTAGGACGGGCCAGGATCCTGGCCGCAGATTTCTCCATTCCTCCCTCTTCCAAAGGCTCCTGTCCGACCCCTTGCTTCCCTGAACTTTCACCTCTTCTGCATGGCTGCCTCAGTTTCCCTGCCTCTCCAGGCAGGCCCTCAATTC